ATATATATTACTCTCTTGTGCTTTGTAGTGTTGAAACATCATTCTTATTATCAATAAAACCCTATTTTTATTTTTTATTTTTATTTTTTATTATATATATTTGTTTTCTTAATCTTAACACCATGTACTTCAAAGAGATCTTTTAAGGTAAATTCAAAAAGCACATCATTTCCTGCGTTTTTGTTTAAGCTTGTCTACCCTTGGTTTTAATCATCTCGTAATTGCATGAAAGAAACATAACCAGATGGTGGAAGAAAAAACAAAACATAATTAAATGACAAGTTAAAATTATAATAATGACCCGAACATAGAGCATAGTGTGTGCCTGGTTTTCGAGTGTAATATACTCACATTTGAAAAAATAGTAATATTAATTCTTAAAATTTTAAAAATTCAAATAAATATCTAAAATGCTAAATAAAAAATTTTAAATTTAACTACCGACTATATATATATATCATTATTATCATTTTAGTGACAATTTTTTTTTCTACTTTGAACTAATTAACAAGATTGCCAATTTGTACACTTAATGATTTCTTAATTTCAGTTTTTTAGTTTCGAAAACTAACAACATCTTTTAAATTCATAGAAGATAGTGAATATTTACTCATTTGAAAGATACTAACAGGATGTTCACTCGTTCCGATAAACAAAATGTAAAAACAACTTTATTTTCTCATTGGATTCAACATGGGATACATTGAAACTAACTTGTTTAGAAACACACCCTTAGCAATTTATAAATTGCAACACTCGGCATGAGTATTATCAAACCAACGTACTAAACATACAACAAGCAACTACGCCACAAACACGTAGGCTGTAGCACTACCACAACCCTTTTATTTCCTCATTCACACATCATTCACATGCACAACAACAAAGTCTCTAGTATTAATTAGATTTCACATTAAAGTTCCCAAATCCTTTTAGGACCCCTCAATTTGAATCACCTTGGTCTCTGGCTTCTTCACCTCTTGCTTAGGGATAGTCACAACAAGGACACCATTCTCCATGGAAGCCTTAACATGATCCACCTTAGCATTCTCTGGGAGCCTAAACCTCCTTTGAAACTTGCCACGGCAACGTTCAATGCGATGCCACGTGTTGTTCTTGTCATCTTCATCATTCACATTGTTTTTCCTCTCACCACTAATCCGAAGCACCCTTCCCTCATCAACTTCTACCTTGACCTCATCTTTCTTCAGCCCCGGAAGGTCAGATATGAACACGTGGCAATCTTTGGTCTCCTTCCAATCCGTGGGGGTGCTTAGAACGGGGCACTTGTTGATCGTAGACAGAAAGGGGTCGTAGGTTTCATCACCAAGAAGTTGATGAATGAGTGACATGGTTTTAGTTGTTGAATTTCAACACAAAAATTAAGAACTATAATATTATGGATGATAAGTTCGAAGATGAAGATGAAGATGAAGATAAATTGCAACTCAGCTTCCAATTCTTAGAAGACAACTAGAAATCTTTTGAAAATGACTTGATCTTAAAATATTGAATAAAATCAACAAATAAATAATATCCTCTATAACAATCTCGTTCTTTTTAGCGTATGACAAAACCCTGTTTCCCTTCTCCTCCTTCTATTCCTCATTCTCCACCACCACCACCTCACCACCGCCTCCAATCCGCGTCGCCCTCACCGAGTCGGCGGGC